CGTCCGTCGGTATTTATGACGGACACCAGCCAATCATATTCCAGTGAGGGGGGAACAAAGGTGTATGCATATTCCATTATATCAATAACCTTGCCTGTCCTGTTATTTAACCCATAGCTGGGGGAAAGAGATGGATTCATACTTTCCCCTCGGTTATACGTGTTCTCATTCCACTCGATACTCCACTCGATACTCCACTTAAACGTCCATTGATAACTTAATTAATTTTATTAATATGAGTGTTTAATTAATTAATAAATATGCTTAGTTAATTACCTTTGCTTCAAAAAATGGTTCAATTTTTTTTTCTCGGATAACCTGTGATATTACAAAATATGATACGGCTATAATAATTGAAAATCATTTATTAAAATAATTTTAAAAAAAATAGAACCTAATAAGATCTCATTCATTCATCGCTTGATTAAATATGTTGTCACATGTGGTGGATAGGTGCCATCTTCTATTATGCGTGTTTACGAATCTGATTGGCGAGAAGAATTGATGGGTTATATTTCCTGGTTGACAGAAGCAAAGAGATTCCGTTTCGTCTTGGTAAATTTCAAATATATACGAAAAACAAGTGATTTATTGGGGACAGTTCTTGTCCGGCAATTTGAATATCAATAAGTCAATCAAAAACGAGGGAAATCAGGTGGAAGACCAAGAGAAAAAGAAGAAATCAATTGAAACTGCCGGCTGCAATTTATTCTCTTTTTTTATTAAAGACTATTTCAGGGCGACGTCAGTTAACATCTTTCTCTTGACACCTCGTCTAAGAAATGGTGGAAATTATTACTTCGATAGGGCCTTTCCATCTGCGATGAAAATTAGGATTCAAAAGTCACTTCGTTTGTGCCCAGGCTCGAATATATATATATATATATATATATATATATATATATATAAAATACAGATATAAAATGTCCCAATAATAAATCTATCCATTTATCTCTCTCTCTCTCTCTCTCTCTCTATATATATATATATATATATATATATATATATATATAGACATATATATGCCCCAATAATAAAACTATCTATCTATCTATCTATCTATCTATCTATCTATCTATCTATCTATCTATCTGATACAGATATAAAATTCCCCAATAATAAAACTCTCGTTCTCTCTCTCTCTCTCTCTCTCTCTCTCTCTCTCTCTATCTATATCTATCTATATATATATATATATATATATATATATATATATATATATATATATATATAGATATAAAATACCCCAATAACAAAAAACATCTATCTATCTATCTATCTATCTATCTATCTATCTATCTATAACCGACAACGAATATCCATTATGTTTGATCATGAGCCGTTCTAAGCTTCGTATGGTGGCAATTTTCTATGTAAATATAAGAGGCTGTCATCTTTGATGGTAAACATTTCCATCATAATGTCCATATAACCACTTTGATGATAGCTCATGTGAGACAGAAAGCTTCAATCGAGGTACAGCATAATAAAAATATCCAAATGTTGGACAATTTTTTCTTTATTTTGTCCTGAAAGCCACCATACGAAGCTTAGAATGGCACATGATCATACTTAATAGTAATTGGTAGTCTGTTATATTTAACAATATATGTTTGAATAATGATCTGCTACCCAAATACACTATATATATATATATATATATATATATATATATATATATATATATATATATATATATATATATATATATATATTCAGGCAGCATTTTTTCATTGATGCATGTTTCATTAAATAATATAGATAAGTTTTGTCTATTTATTTTATAATTCATATTGTCTGATAAACTTAACATTATTATTGAAAGATGAAAGAAGCTCACTGTATTGATACATGTTTTTTTAATCCTTACATATCCTGCTATCAAAGATGAAAATTACATGTCAATATATACAATACACGGACGAAACAATACTGATAGTCTGTTTTTGTTGCATGAAAGATTTCCAAGCAACGACAACCTCGTGTATACGAGACGCGCAAGGGAAAATCGCACCGCAGCTCGTGACGTCACACATGACCATACGAGAGTGAAAATGAGAAGTATTAAGTATGGGAAGCCGTTGGTATAAATCAATTATAGGCATTTAAGAATAAACAGACTATCATTATCCTCAGGCATGGAAATTATTTTGTTTTTTATTAAGATCCGGGTAGCATAAGAGACGAAAAAATTAAATGCGAATCGAAATACGTTTTTTTTTTTTTTTTAAATGTGTTATTGTTAACGGATACAAAGTTTTGAAGCGCGCAGTCGCAACGCTAAGGTTGATTTTTTTTTTTGAAAATTTAAGTGCGTTTTTTTTTTTAAGAATATGGTAATTTGAGAATTCTTTTGTTGTAGGAGTTTATCATTCAGTTTGGCATGAACTAAATTGTAATGTCTCAGTTGTTATCCTGAAAATTTGCACGACGAATCAGTTCTTTTAAATGAAATATGTGGTGCAGTTCAATTTATATTCCAATGAATCATTCATACAAAAATTTACTAATTTACTTTACTAATCTACTTTTTGTATGAATGAGTCATTGTAATATAAATTGAACTGCCTCCCCTAAGTAAATATATATATATATATATATATATATATATATATATATATATATATATATATATATATTGAATAATTAAGAAAGAGGTTTAAGGTTCAATGACTATAATTTATTTCCCCAGAAAATATATATTTTCCTGGTTCATCAGGTCACATCTCTAGTTACAAATGAATTTGGTTTCTTTTATTTTTAATACAAGTTTTTGAGGGATAGTTTCAGATTGATATAAGGTGATAGAGAGGGTGGGAGGTGGAGGACCATAGAATGATCTAAATTAAAAAAATGGAAGGTAGGAATAGGATTGTTTTTATATCAACTTTAACAATTTACGTAGGTTCGAGTGTACCTATTTAAGAGGTCAATTTCAAGACAAATTGTAAAGCAATGGACGGGGAAAGAGAGGAAGAAGAAAGAAGAAAGAAAGAGTTAAACACTGGAGGGGGAGAAAGAAGGAAGAGTGAATTATTATATATAGTCACGGTGACACTTGAAAAACACACATCTATATAATTTATAGTTAATACATAAACTATTAAAGATTACTAGCAAAGAAGGAATAAAAGAAAATATATTAATCCTGATTAATATAATTCTAATTAGTACAGAACCATATATTTTAAAAAAATATGAAGAAGAGTATAAAAATTGATAATATTAATAACACTATTATATAAAAATTCAAAAGTAAATTTAAATTTGAACTTTAAAATTTAAAAATTAAATATAATTTATAAACACTAAAGAAATATATATATTTAATATTAATTGAATATTAGATATTTAATATTAATTTAATATGTTATTTTTCTCGGCTATTTATATATACCGGTGAGTGGTGCATTGTGGGTTATTTTACCGGTAGTCGTTTATTTGTTTATTTATTTGTTTGGGTTAAATTATTTTGCTTGTTTTTATTTATTTTTATTATATTTTTTATTAATCGGTGTTTTTATTAACGTAGTAAAAAAATTTTATATCGCTTATTTAATAGTTTTGGGAAGATAACCAAAGCTATTTATTCAATTTTGGGGTTGTAGTTTAGTTTTTGTTGTAGTTTATTCTAACTATTATTTTGGCGGGACCAGTTTCTAATTTGTTTATTAATTAGAATGTTTTCTTACACTTATTCGAATATTATCTGTTACTACATAACACGTGACACGTATCTAACCAATAAGAAATAGCTAAACACAATATAACATGAATCTGCGTCTCTTTGCTTTTTATCAATTTTATCATTTCTATTTTGATCTCTGACGAAGCTTTAATAAAGCGAAACATGTTTGATTAAGATTTATTTTCGTACTTATTCTTTATCGTATCATTTTGTCGGATTCGTATCCATACTCGATCTATGCAAAGCGCATCAAAATTTGCATCAGAAATGATGGAAATCGTATTCGAGGTGTTATTTGTTAATATTCCAATTCACTAAAACGCTGTTAAGAATTTCATTTCTTGAAATTGTCTTCTTCGGAATTTAGGGACAACTTTTATATATATATATATATATATATATATATATATATATATATATATATATATATATAAAGAAATATAGTTTTAAGCTGTGGTATATTTATGGGATAAAGTGCTCAATATCAGAGATAGAGTGTATGTAAATATAAATAAAAAAAGTGAACATTGAAGTCAACACTCACAGGCGACAGGCTGTTTTATGCTAGAGGCAATCGTCAGGCCGCGAATGTTGTAATCCATTCTGGCGGTTATTTTGGCGGGAGTGACTTTTTTATTTATTTATTTGGGTTAATTTATTTTACTTGTTTTTATTTTTATTTTTTATTTTATATATTTATTTATTCTTTTCGATTTTCGATGTTTTATTAACGTAGTAAAACATTTCGGGGTGTTGGCTTGGGTCGCTTATTTAAAAGTTTGTTTTGGTCTGGGAAGATATATCTTGTGCATATTTAGCAGCGTCTCACTACGTTTGCATACCAAAATAACCACCAGAATGGATTACTCACAATGCACCACTGAACCATATATATAAATAGTCAAGAAAAAATCCAACACTCGCGGCCTGACGATTACGTCTAGGATGAGACATCCTGTCACCTCTGAGTGTTGACTTCAATGTTCATTTATATATATATATATATATATATATATATATGTGTGTGGGGGGTGGCATAAATAGATCCACTTGTAATCTAGTTCCTTCTCTATATTTTTTGTAATTCCGATCCCAGCGTATGTTTACTGTCATTAGATCCCAATAACGAATGATATTCCAACTAGAAATGCTTATCCTAATCTTCTTATTCAGACTCGCTTCTGGCTTCTCAGTAATGGTATTTCGGTCTTTCGAAAGATCATCTTTTACAACAGGAAACCATTTTTCATATGTAAACAGCCAAATGACGTATTGATTTACCTTCATCCAGTAATTACGTATGCAGTTTCTGCTACGGTGATGAATAGATTTGTCTCGCTTGGCCAACACCAACAGGAACCATTTTTTTTTTTATCTTTTTATAAATGTCTGCTTTCTTCTGACTTGCATATGATGGTTGTAAGGGTAAAAAAAAAAAAAATTCTATGTCTGTCGGGGTGATTATTTGGAAACTGTTTGAAAGACTAAAAAAGTATTTCCAGAATGACGAGTTTACAGTAGTATGATCTGGACTAATATCCTCATCCTGTGAAAGAGGGAGAAAGAAAGAGAGAGAAAGAGAAAGAGAGAGAGAAAGAAGCAATAGTGATAGAATGATCAGGAGGAAGGGGGAAAAGGGGTTATGAGAGGTAAGAAAATTAATACCACAGAAGAAAGAAAGAGAGAGAGAGAGAGAGAGAGAGAGAGCAACAGGTGGGGAGGGAGACTATCTGGCTGGATTATAATCTTACTTATTATAAAACGCAGATTGTGTGTGTGTTTGTGTGTGTCTGTACGTTTATATATTGGATCGGATTTCCTACATTTTTCAACCGATTTCAACAAAACTTCACAAGACTACGTAAAATTACCTTGCGGTAATTCTGACAGCGCCAAAAATTGAAAAAACACAATTGTTTTTGCACGAAATCAATTTGAAAACACTATTAAGAGGCATCACGAGAATGAAAGGGGGACAACTCATATCGATTTATACTTATTATAAAACCCAGGTTGTTTGTATATGTGTGCGTGTGTGTGTTCGTTTATATATGGGATCAGATTTCCTACATTTTTCAACCGATTTTAACAAAACTTCACTTTTTTTTGGCAGGTAGTGTTTCTTATTGTCTTGCACACTTTTTTCTTTATTTTTGCGTTCAGAATGCTTTAAAAATTCCATTTACAAGACAATTGTTTATAATAAAATTCTATTCAATCAGTAGACTCATAACGATTGAAAACAATGTTTTTGTTTGAGTTTGGGTTTGACCAATTCGTAAAAAAAAAACAAAAGAAAAAAATTAAGACATGCGTGTCCGTCAACCTTAAACAATAATCTAAATAATAGTCAGTTTTATTTTTCAGTCTTTATGGTGGTGGATACTTGATCTATTTCTTACTGTTACATCCCCGGGCAATGCCGTGCTCTACTGCTAGTCTTTAATAAAAGAAAGATTGTAGAGCAGATACGGATGAAAAGGTGTAAAGATTAAAATGAATTATAATGAGATTTGGACTAACATCGTCATCTTGCGAAACGTTTTGATAATGACAATAAAAATGATGTTATTAGTCACAATGTAAATGACATTAAAGTTCTTTACGGAGATAGAGAGAGAGGGGGGGTGCAAAAGAAAGGGCGAGAAAAAGATAGCAAGGAAGCGAGAGAGAGGGAGTAATAGAAAGTGAGAAAGAGAAAGCAAAGAAGCGAGACAGAAAATAATAGAAAGAAAGAGAGAGAGAGAGATAGAGAGAGAGAGCAAGAGAATGATAAAAGAGAGGGAGCAGTACAAGAATATATGTCTTCCTTATGAAACTAATTCACTTTTTTGTATAGCATCATAACAAATATTGTAAAAAGGAGGAAGAGAAAATACAAGCCAAGGTTGTGAGAAAAGCCGATGGATTAGAATGGATAATCTGAGTTGACAACATCTATGTGATGTCCAGATCCAGCTTGATTAAATTCAAAGTCGTGATGAATTTAATAAAAGGAAGACACAAATTAACTGCTAATATCTTGACACTTTTCCATGGGAGAGTAGAATATATAACTAGCCATTTATCAGAACCGTATTAGTCAGTTGAATGACAAAGTGGAAAAATAAGGATGCATATAAACAGAATGAGATATATATTTAGATAGTTATGAACAGAATGAGATAGATAGATCTATATAAACATAGATAGATAGATATGAAAAGAGATAGATAGATAGATATGAAGAAGTACAGATATGAAAAGAGATAGATAGATAGATAGATATGAAGAAGTACAGATAGAGGGATAGATATGAACAGAATGAGATAGCTAGATAGCTAGATAAATAAGTAAATAAGTAGATAGACATGAACATAGATATGAACAGATATTAAGATTGATATGAACAGATATAGATAAATAGATAGATATGGGTAGAATTAGATAGATATTTAGATATGAAAGTTTGCAAAGACAAGATATGTAAGTTCAAATCTCACTGAACGCAGCTTATTGTTTATATGCGATCAAGGTTTCTGACTTAAGTGTTAAATGTTAAAAAAAGCCTTTGATAAAAATCAGAACGGTAAAATAAAGCAATACTAATAACAAAAGTAATAGTATTTATTACAATACCTAGAGTTTCTAATTTGCTCTTAAATTAGAAACCTAGAGATGTTTTAGATTATATTTTTTTTACAGTCGTATGAATAGAAAGTCCAAATTTTAATATATATATATATATATATATATATATATATATATATATATATATATATATATATAAAATTAATGAAAAACACCACTTTTCTGAAATTTCATTGTTGGAAGTGTTACCTGATGATCCGGAGTCCCTTAAAAGGATTTTGGTGAAAAATAAATTATTGTAATGGTTTCACCTTAAAGTTCGGTCTGTTTTCATTAAATATTAGCTCTGTATTCACATTGAGTTTCTCTCTAATTTTATTTTTTGATTTCATCCTCCTTGGAATTTTGGAGTAACCATTCAGGTTTTAAATACACAGCTAAAATCACGTTTCCATTCTTCATAACTTTTTCCTTATATATATATATATATATATATATATATATATATATATATATATATATCTGATAAAAAAAAAAAAAAAAAAAAAATTGTTAACGGTAAAAATTTTCAACGTCATCTTTTAAAATTAAAATTTTTTTTTACAATACATAAATATTTTCCTTTTTATTTTTATTTTACAAAAATTATTTAACAGTTTAAGTATTAGTTCAGTAAACTTTTTCTTTTATATAAACCTATTATTAATTATATAAATGGCGATTAATACATCTTCACATTTAATCAAGCATTTTTGTGAAAATAAACTAAGTACTATTTTCAATAAAACACAAACAAATTTATTAAAATTAAAACCAAAAAATTAACCCACAAAAACTAACCTCTAGATCAAAATAAATGTTATGATCCCTGTTTTAATAAATTCAACTTGTATAAGGTCTTTTTTTTGCTGTTTAGAATCAAAATAAACAGACATCATCAGGCATGGAAAAATTGTTTCTTTTTAAATACATCCAGGTAATAATATATATGTATGTAAAATTATGAATCATGTATGTGTGTGTGTGTGTGTGTGTGTGTGTGTGTGCATTTAAAATTTAAAATAACGTCTCTGGGCTCAAACATCTTATCGGACCACATTCAATTATAACTAAAAGCTTGATGTAAGGTAATGTATGACCCATTGTTCTTTGTATACATATGAAACTTTATTACTCAGGTTACATATATTTAAAATAAATTTGTTTTTTATCATTGTCTGTTAAAAAAATTATCCTTCTGTTATGTGAAAAAAAAAAAAAATTTTGTTTTAAATGTCAACCTTCAAATTTGTCTTCAAATAGAAAAGTAATAAAAAATAGAAATGTTTACTAAATCCGAGAAATAATTAATTTGCAGTGTCATTATTTATTATTTTATTTATTAATAAAATTAATATTTTTTTTTTCTTGGCCTCTATAGCTCAATATAACTAACAATGTTTTCAAAAGTTTAAAGTAAGTCAAAATTGAATCAAAAAATTAAATTGTGACAATGCTTTTAAATATATGCGAAAAAGAATCCCCAAAAAAAAGCAAATATAGTAAAATAAAAATTATTATTCAATGGAAAATAAATTATATCCGAATAACTCAACAGCAAATTTAGAAATGAATAGAGTCTCCAATCAAAGAAAAATATAGCTATTTTTATGGCTAATTTTAAAATTTTAAAAGTTAATCTAATTATTTATACATACATCTTCCTTAGCTATTTTGTATGGCAGTTTAAATTTGATACTAATACTTTTGATATGGAAAAATAATCCATCTCAGCATAAAACTAAACAATGAAAATATTTTAAGAAGAAGAAGCTTTCTTTTTAAATAATACTACACGGACCAAAATGTAAAATAAAATAAAATAAAATAAAATAAAAATAAAATTAATATGAAATACCATAACATGTAAGCTTTTTGAATGACCCATGTGATTCTGCAATAAGGATGCTGAATCAGGAAATTAAAACCATTTCTGCTGGCATAGTCTATAAAAAAAAAAAAAAAAAATGTAACCTCATATACATACTTAAACTTAATGACAATGTTTTAATAAAATGGAAACCAAAAAAAAGACAAAAAAATTATGACGTTGAATATCAATTTTTTTTTTTTTTTTTTTTTTTTTTAAAATTCAGAAAAAACCGACGTTTTCATCATCTTACCCCCTTACCAAAATGTAGGCACAAAAATGATGGAAAAATCTAGATGTTTTTACGTTGATGGCGTTGTTTTCTATGAGTATTCATTGTGTTTTCTTTAGTATCTTTTTAAATCAATTAATTTATAATATTAATGTGTCACGTCCTGCCCGTCCATTGCTGCTATATATATATATATATATATATATATATATATATATATATATATATATATATATATATGTTGTGTTTTTGTATCATTCGTCAGTCTGTGTTGTCGTGTCGTATGCAATGCATATAATAAGCCTGATATGTATGTATATGTATGTGTGTGTGTGTGTGTGTGTGTGTGTGTGTGTGTGTGTGTGTGTGTGTGTGTGTGCGCGTTCACATCTTATCGCCACATTCAGTTTAAATTATTGATGTCAACCTTCAAATTTGTCTTCAAATAGAGGCTTTCATTATTTATTATTTTATTTATTAATAAAATTAATATTTTTTTTTCCTCTTGGCCTCTATAGCTCAGTTTGCGTTTATAAGTCACGAATCAAAAATTAGTGACAATGCTTTATATGCGAAATTCAAAAACTATTATTATTCAGGAAAATAAACCGAATAACGTGGCAACAATATACAGATATGGCTATTTAATCAAATCCAGTTATCTGGCACCTGTGCCATCTCAGCATAAAGGAAGAAGTTGGGACTGTAGACATATGATATCAGAGCTATGACTAGCCGACAATGTTTTAGGACAAACTCTGAATATCAGCAAAGCTTTTCGGACAAAATATGGAAGATGTTTTTACGTTGATGGCGTTGTTTTCTAATTCATTGTGTTTTCTTTAGACCAGTGACCCTGCCCGTCCATTGCTGAAATCGCGTCAGTCTGTTCCCCGTATGCAATGCAAAACCGATATATGAGATGCGCTTAGTGTCACATCCTTGACTCAGTGGGGCGTCAAGTAATGCGTAACAGGAGATAGTAGGTCGATCGTTTTTTATCTGCTTGCTCCGGCTCTGTTGCTGTTAGCTCAGCAGTCAAACTCTGAGCAGCTACAAGCTTCGTCACTGGAGTCTGGCAAAACATTTGTACTCTAACCATATCCTTTGATAAATTAATTAATTCGTTTTTTACGGTATATCAACCCTTCGTGAGTTATTTAAATCCATAAAATATTTTCAGATTGTAAGAATTTTATTTTTTGGGTTGAAAATATAGTTTTAGCAATACAAGTCTTAGTAATTAACACATAGCTGGAGAAGGGGGTAGAAGAGGTGGATTTCTACCTTCCTAAGCGTATTTCCGCCTAAGTAAATAAAACGAACCCAATTGGAATTGAAACTTGGATCTCCTCCAAAACACTCCGGGCTGTTATCCATTACATCACCCGCACATGCAAACTTACAGCAGCTAGTATTTCCAAACGGTAACCCATTTAGTTGCTGACCAGGCTCGACCTTGCTTAACTTCAGTGATCGTACGGTTACAGGTGCTTCAACGTAATGTGGTTGTAAGCTTTACATATGCATATACAACGAAAACAATGTAACATGAACATGTACAACTTTCTCTACTGCTCGGCAATGAATCACTCATTCTGGTCTGCGTCTCAAGAAAGCTGAAGCTGGAATATGTTCACGACATGTTCGAGTACTAATATTTGACTCTGACTCTTTATCACAGTGATATACAGCAGTGATTACAGGAATTACCGTATTTGACGGCATATAAGGCGCACTTTTTTTTTTTACTAAAAATATCTTTTAAAATTCCCCTGCGTCTTATATGCCTTATGTAGGTTTACTAATTTTACTAATTTTACTAATTACTATTTTTTTTTATTTTCGCTGCCCAAATAGGGGTGCATCTTATACGCCTGTGCGTCTTATATGCCGTCAAAAACGGTAAATCTTCGCAACTCGCTTACTCTTACTCACCAAAAGATATAACCATTATAATTGATAAAGAATCTATATGTGACATACTGGAATTAGTTTAATAGCTTAAGTTTTTATTTGTTTCTCGGAGTTTAACGTTAATTCTTTCTAAATTCCAACCGGAACAAAACTGAGAAACATTTTTGCGTTAACTTGACATGTAAACATCACTCTTCTATTTTCGGTCTCTTTGGTAGAAGGCAGCCGCCAAAAATGGAAGGGAATAGTATCGTTTGGCACAATATGTCTCCAGACTGCTTACTTTATCTCCATTTATCTTTCCGATGTATACTTGCCCTGTGCCGCGAATGAAGAAAAACCATTGTCAAAATGGCGGGAAAAAAAAAAGATGTATAATCTTTCGACTTTAATAGAAACTAATTTAGATCATTTTTTTTAACTCGTTGGATAACACATATTGATTATTGTAAAATGCAATAATATCATTGGAAAGGCATGAATCGTATTTTCCCTGATGAAATAGCTCGTCACTGGCATGTTAAGCTGGGCGACGGAGAAAATAGTGAATAAGACAAACCACTCTCTCACATCTACCTGATTTGTCTACGCAATAGCACCAGAAAGTCATTTGCCGTGTCTCTTCAGGACGTGGGCGATCATTACTCTCCACAACATCCTATCTCTTCTAGCTCTTAGCAATGTTTGTCCCTTGGCCAAGACCTCACCGTTCCATCCATTCAGTCATAAGCTCATCAGGTAACTAATCCGCTGATTCTCCTTGTTTCTTTTTCCTTAACTATATCCTGTGATTGTCAAATTTTCGAAGCCCTCCTTTCTCATTTTAGGTCCGCCAACCAAAATTCGGCTATCTCCGCATTCTCAGCATCCTTCTGTAGAACAGTATCTCTGTTGGTATCTGTATGAAAATTGTCCTGCATTTACTGCCTTGTAAAAAATAATACTTCATAGTAATTCTCCCTTTTTCCTTTATAAATAATATATAGTCTAAAACAGGAATCTTCAATCAAGGTGATTTCGGTGGGAGAGTCTTTTACTTTTTCTTGTATTTTAATTACAGAATTTGAAGCCCATTATGAGTGCAAAATAAACACGGTGTATGAATCTTATTTACAATATGGATTCACATCCATCATCAATGGAGAAGAAGGGCCAGTGTGTATTTTGTAGTAAAAGTTTGTTGAAACCAACAAAGTTGACCGTCCTGGGTATGACGATAAACTACATCTGCGTCCAGGGTAAGACGATAAACTACGTCCAACAGCAAGGCCTCTCATCAGGAGGTTTTGAGGAGCGTGGAACCATCTCTTAATTGCTGGTGTTCCAAGGTCCACCCTGACCCGGGGTGATAGCACCTGTTAGGGTCCCAGATATGGGCAAATAGTTAGCACCCAAACTTGTGTAAAAATAGGATTTAATACCAGAAATACTTTGTAATAAAAAAAATATTACCTGCAATAATTTTTGAAGGAAAAATTATTATCAGCAATACTTTAAAAAAATAAAGTACTAGCAATACAAACAGCTATACGTTCTTTGAAAAAAATATTACCAGATATAGATTTCTTGAAAGAAAAATATTCCCTGAAATAGATTTTTGAAGAAAAACATATCGGCAATAAAAATTTTGTCGGCATTAAATAACCCATTGAGGTTGATATTTCGTAAAACAGACCAAACCAAACCAACAAAGTTGAAGCACCATTTGCAGAATGTTAATGCTCAACAACAGGACAAGAACAAAAACCGTCGATGAAGGGCCCTCAAAAAATTACTGTACATGTATCCAACTTTAAAAAAAACTATAAAAATTTTCTGGTGCCTATTAAATTTGTAAAAATCCTCTATAAAAATATAAATTTTTTATCTACTAATGTGGAAAAGAATGAAGATTTTTTTTAGTAATATCTGCATATTATTTAGAATACTCGGTAGAGTAATGGATAGCGGCTCGGATTGAAGAATCAGAGAGCCGAGTTCGAATTCCGGTCGAATCCATTACATTCACTTACGTGCTAATACCTTTCCTACCTTGGTAAAGGTAGGAATTTAAGAACAGACTGGATTCTATACACTTGGACTACCGCAGAAAGAAATGGCAACCTATTGCGGGAAAAAATCACGTCAGTCATGCATATGACGTGTATTACGTATGACACATAAGTGACTTAGGATGAGGAACGGTGGAGTAATGGATAGCGGCTCGGATTGAGGAATCAGAGAGCCGAGTTCGAATTCCAGTCGTATCCATTACATTCACTTACATGCTAATACCTTTGGGAAAGGTATGAATCCTATTCTCCACCCCGAGCTAAGGGTAAATAGCTTACAGTAAATAGGGATAGACCGGTTTCTAGAGTCTTGGATGGCAACAGGTCTACCGCAGAAAGAAATGGCAACCTATTGCGGGAAAAAATCTGCCTCGTCAGTCATGTATCGAAAGATACATTATTGCCTACGCATGGCATATAACTGACTGGCTGATTTAGAAGCAACCTTTTGAGTCGGATTAATCGGACATTCGTGGAAAGTGGGGAAATGACAGCCTTTTCAGTTAATGCTGAAAATGGGCATTGGGACTGAGAACTAACCAAATAATTTAAACCATATACCGTATATGTCGGCGTATAAGGCGACCGTTTAACCTTAAAAATCTGCCCTAAAAATAGAGGGCCGTCTTATACTTCAGGTATAAATTGTGAAACTTTAATATTGTGGTTCATAGTAAATTGTTAGCATTGGGCATTTTTGACGGTAGGCGAACTCTTGACTCGCCTTTTTTATCGATGATGTTGAACAAAGACTCAACTGGATGTGTGTCTCAACAAGGCGTTTAAAAATCGCATTCGAGAAGAAACAGGGAAAAATTTTTTAGGCTATCGTAATAGCCTACTGAAAACACAGCACCCACTCATGAGGTATTGTAGATTATCGTAGTTAATTGACAATTGGCAATATCTTCCCACCATTTTCATATATGAATTACGGTGAAAAGAAAGTATATGCTTAAATAATTTATTTAATAAATTCAGTACAATACATTTTAAAATCCCTTTGCTGGGGTCGTCTTGTACGGCGAATATAGTTCGAAACCTACATTTTAACTTGAAAATATGGGGGGGGCGTCTTATACGCCCACACCGCCTTGTACGCCAGCATAGGCGGTTACTTAAAGCTTTACAAAACATTATTTACTTGAAACCAAATTATTGTGTATATTTAATAGTATCAATAATACTTGAAATTATATAACTGTGTGCAAATTACTTTGTATTACGACCGCATGACGTTGAAGAACCGATTCCCGTACGGTTTCCGAAGTTAAGCAAAGTCGAACCTGGTCAGTACCTAGATGGGTGACCGCTTGGGAATGCCAGGTGTTGTAAACTTGGATGTGCGAGTGGTGTAATGGGTAGTGACTCGGGATTGTTAATCGGAGAGCCAAGTTCAAATTCCATTTGGGCTAGCTATATTCGCTTACGCTTAAATAGCCTTGGGAAAGGTATGAAATCATTTCTCCCCCATGCGAATTCTTACAATCTAAAGACATTTCCCGGCTTTAAATAACCTGCAAAGAGTCGATGAACCGAAGAAAACGAATTGTCGAATCAATTTAGAGCCGTAAAAGAACCGATCAGTTTCCCGGTATTTTAACAATAGTACGAACATATCAGTAAGCTTTAGTATCAATGAAACATCGTAGCAAGGAGCCTCATTGAGAGTTCAAAATCGGTAATAGAATAAATTTAGTCACTGTCCGGTGATAATGAAGCATTAGTACAGATAAGAAAATATTGATGATTTCCAAAGACATTACGTAAAAAAATTCCATCAATATCCGTTGGCCTTTGAAGACTTCGAACAATGATCGACAAAATCGCCAAAAAAGGAAGGATAAGTAATGGGACAGCATAAAGAAACACCAGTGACCAAAGTCTTAGGACACTGCTTCAGACCATCTAATAAGAAACGGGGTCGACTAGAAATCTCATTACTAAGCAGATCTTGCAAATACGAATGATTTGCTTGTCATTAAAAATCCGGCATCAGTCGATCAATTCGAAAACTTAGTCCCAAAGAAAGGAAGTTAGAATCAATATGCGAGATTGCTCAAGCAGTAATTAATTTTGCGTAATAAAAGGCACAAAATTAATTTTATTGATCAAAATAAAGTAGAAATATATAACAGGCCTTGGTGACGAGGAGGTAGCGAACAAGACTCGATATTGCGCCGCTCATTCACAAATTCTGTGGTGGAACTCATAGAAATATATAAACTACAGAAGAATAATTTTTCTGCACGTCCTGCATTCACTGGTTTTGGTATATCGACTTTACGAATGTAATCGCAGTACTAGAATGGCTGCTTGAAAAAATGCCGTATAATGTATAGAAAGAGCACTGATTTCTGGATCAGCCACGGTAAATTTGCCTCCAGCTTCTTGCAACATCTCATCATTCTTAACAAATCTGTCTTCACAATGTGACATATGTAAAGGCAAGCTAAGTTTCAGAATTTACAGTTGAAATGGCTAGATGTAATCGTAAGTTCTATGCTAACCGTTTCTTCTGTCGCAATACTCGTGTGTGGAATTCTCTTCCAGTCATATATATATATATATATATATATATATATATATATATATATATGATAGAGATTAAGAAGGATTTGAGATAATTAATTCATCGAGTCTAGAAGAAACCTCAACAGAATGCAGAAAGCACTGGACGGCCGTTTCGTCCTATATTTGGGATATCCACTACCGAGAATTGAAACCCGTTATATTGACAGGCAAACGTCATACCAACTGTACTAACAGGCCTTGGTGACGAGGAGGTAGCGAACAAGACTCGATATTGCGCCGCTCATTCACAAATTCTGTGGTGGAACTCATCCAAGTTTCCTTTACCCATAAGATATAAGATTGTGCCTCCTTGAGCCAGGCCTACTATCTCCAAGCCACTTCATCCAGAGCATTATATATATATATATATATATATATATATATATATATATATATATATGAAAAAATATAATTTTAAGGTGTGCTATATTTATGGAATAAAGTGCTCAATATCAGAGATAGAGCGTATGTAAATATAAAAGTGAACATAGAAGTCAACACTCAGAGGCGACAGGCTGTTTTATGCTGGACGCAATCGTCAAGCCGCCTGAAGATTGCGTCCAGCATGAAACAGCCTGTCGCCTCTGAGTGTTGACTTTCACTATATATATATATATATATATATATATATATATATATATATATATATATATATATATATAAAAAGACACATGGCATAGTGGATAAAGGTGTTGGTTAGATCCAGTGACAGGACCCAAAGAGTTGTGAGGTCAATACCTGGTTAAGGCAGTGGAGAACTTGGAGAGGGGAATTGACTGGTAACTAAGATTCATTAGACATGCCACGTGGAACTAAGACATCTCCCCCAGACAGCGAAATAAGGGGTTCAGTTCGACATTCCAACCACCTGAAGAGGGTCAGAACGTACATCGGTCGAAACGCTGTGATACATATGGCAACAAAGATGAGGTCAATAGTCCGAATAATGTAAATAATGTCAGTAAAACGAATCGTGATCTCTCAGTGACTGTGTGTTTATCTAAAAATACTCTAAAATTTACCTTCATCCCTGCCGTGCACCAACGGCCAAGGGGTAGAATCTCCGTCTGACGACAATACAGCCGAGTTTCGATCCTAGCTAGAGGCAACAGGACGTCTAGCTACTCTGATGAGCTGTGATACAGACAAACAGTCCGTGGATGACAATACATATATATATATATATATATATATATATATAGCGTAATGAGAAGCCACGTATACTTTCTTAATATGTATATAGAGAAAAAACAACTAAAAAGTTGCAAATCAAAAAGATAATAATGTTTTTTTCATGAAAGTATTTATTTATATTTGATATTTCAGATCGACCTCGATCTTTCTTCAGAAATAACTGTTTTTAGAGGTTTGTTTACAAGTAGCGTCCGTCGCGAGATGCGGACGTCACGTGATATGGAACGCCACTGTGTTCGAATATTTTTAACGCAAATCTAACTGTAATAATAATTTTGAATGTTTCTAACAATATCTAAAAAAAAAATCAAATATAAATAAATACTTTCATAAAAAAACATTATTATTTTTTTTTTATTTGCAACTTTTTATTGTTTATATATATATATATATATATATATATATATATATATATATATACAAATTCTAATAAATTTAATTTCAGCGATAGAAATCGAATTAAACTTAATACTCTACTGCAGACATAATGGTAAAAGCACTGCCGTGGGTAATAGCGATCGAAAACCTCTGTAAGAGCCAGGCGGTTTTCTGTGTATCGACGCTGAGTTGCGCTGCCATTACTATTAATGATTATATAACTATTAATTGCCTCGTTGCAGTTTATATTCTAAGCTATGGTTCTGTTTGAAGACAGATGATTAAATTAGCAATTCAAATTAGATTCAATTGTGATTCAGTTATTTAAAAGTCCTCATATTGTGCTTAGTTGCTACTGACTCCATTATTTTTTAGGAGTCTTGTACGTGCGCCATTATGCTAATGATAACGCCTCAATGGAAAAGTCTATTCTTCATTTATTGTTCTTCTTAGTTTTAGGTACCGTGTCTCTTCAGAACGAGAGTGATCAAAGATCTCTACTACTGCCTATCCTTTTGTAGCTCTAAGCGATGTTTGTCACTTTACTGTCCTCCTATTCTCTGTTTTACCATCCATTTCACAAGGTCTTTAAGTAGATTACCCGCTTATTGCCAGTTACCCCCTTGCTTTCAATATGTCTTATGAGTGTCAAATTCTTCAAGCCGTCTTTCCTCATTATGTGTCCCAGAAGTTTTAACTCTCTTACTGACATTGTGTTTCATTTTTGTCTCCATTTTCCTTAAAACTTTCCGTTGCTCAAATACTTAATCTATGTGTATTCTCATCATCCTTCTGTAGAACCACACCGCTGTTTCATTTAATGCTTTCAAGCAACTACGAAAGAAGAATAAACTTAAAAATGGACACTTTAATTAATGATAAAAGGGCCAGATTAATTATTCCTTTGCAGTTTTAAGTAAATTATGCCTTTTGTCTATCTCCCTTAAAACTTGTTTTGTCATCTATTTACATTTAAGCTCGCTAGGTAGATTATGCGCTGTTTTTCTTTGTTCCTATTGCCTTCAATATGTCCCGTGAGTGTCAAATTCACCGAGCCTTTTTTCCTCATTATATGTTCCAGAAATTTTAATTGTCTCTCTCTTATTCTAAGTACAAGTGACCTTTTCGTTTAAAACTTTCCCTTAAAACTTTCTCGGTGCTTACCTACTTTATGCATGTTATTCGCACCATCCTTCTGTAGAACCAAACCCCTGTTTGGTTCAATATTATTAAGCAACAACATAAAGAACATTACCTATACAATTCATGATCAAAGGGCCACATTAATTATTCCATTGTTATTATTAAAATATCAACTTATCATTAATTTTATCATCATTTTTGGCATTTATTTTTTATATTTCTTCTTCTTTGTGTCGTATCCCTTCAGGGCGTTGACGATCATAGCTCTTCACAATTTGCCGTTGACGTGTCCAACAGACTGGTTACCAAAAGTCCTTACGCAAAAAAAAACAAAAAACAAACAAAAAAAACAAATGGTGGGACGGAATTAATAACACAAAAGCAAAAAACAATAAAAGTGTTGCACAAGAAAAAAAAATCAAAACTGAGAAAGAAGAAAGATCAAAAGGCAAAGACCTATCTAATCAGTATATATCTAGGCTATCCAAATAGAGCAAAAAACGTCAATAAACTGTCAACCTTTAACGAGACACAGCTATATTTATAGATTGATCATGTCAAGACCTAGAAAACTAAAAAAAACTGCTGAAAAGCACTGGACGGCCATTTCGTCTTATTTTGGGGACTCATTAGCAGCGCGACAATCGAACCCTGGCCGTTACGATACAACGCAAGTATCACACCATTAGGCCAGCGGGCCAAGATGGCGCAGAGGAAACTAAATAACTAGATAGAATACAGCACAATTAATCCTATTTCCGGTAGTGATACTCATTTAAGTATACATAACTCACAGGACAACTGATGCTTGTGTTGTGCTTTAACAGTTCGGGTTCGATTCTCGAGTGTGGATGAGCACTGCTGATAAGTCCCAAAATAGGACGAAATGGCCGTACAATTCTTTCTGCATGCTGTTGAGGTTTCTAGGGTCTAGACATGATGAATTATTATGAAAAAAATATTCAAATCACCCAATTACTATTCATATATATATATATATATATATATATATGTGTGTGTGTGTGTGTGTGTGTGTAAAAAGAGAG